CTACAGACACAACCTAGAAGACTGGTAAATAAAAATAAATACATTTCACTGGTGTCCTTCTATAAAATTTTATTACATCTAACAATATATGTCAGCTGTCTTCAAGTAACAAACTAAAAGGTCAGTGATTAATCAGAGTTGATCAGAAGTGGTGTGAAAACAGTGCAGTGATGCCATTCAACTACATGATTTTACATTGGTATGAAGTTATGTCACACAAAAGAGCCACACCTTGTTTATAAATAGCAATGAAAATGACGCACATGTACCTCAGTTGTACAGATATCAAATGATCAAATGTAACAACAGCAGCTTACATAACATACTAGATTTCAAACATCATTTATAGCTAAATAGTGCCTGTTAATAAAGGATGATCTGGACAAAAGGCCTTTCTTTCTGTTTGTTCAAGTGTTTATGCTATTAAATCAATCCTTAACCTCATTGTTAGGTAGTTTATGTGAGCTAAGAGATCAGTGATCTCTTAATTTGTTCATTTCTTGTCTTTCTTTGTGTTTGCTATTAAATCAAACCCGAGCCTTATTGTTAGGTTGCTCATGTGAGCTTTAAACGGTGATCTCTTAAGTTGTTCATTCCCTAGTGGATTCAAACCTACATAATTTGGTTCGATAACTCAAATTTAATTAAATCATAACGCCACAAATCAAGAATATAGTTCTGGCAGAGAGACTCAGCTGAAGTCTTGGTAGACCAACTAATCTCAGTGTTAGCCAACATTAGCTCACAGGTTCATAAAATCAAGCATGGAGCCATAAATTCTGCCTTTACCAACATTTATGAAAGAATAGGTTGTTCCAAAGTGCTTTATTCACTTAAAGGTACTGTAATCAGATGCAACCTTTGTATCCACTTTTATTAATACTATTTTGATGTTAAGAATGAACTTTACTATGCCATGTGACTACAGACAGAGAACCCCCCCCCCACACACACACACACACACAAAACATGTTGCAAGGGACAAGTACAACTTTTTGTACATGTAGGTACATGCAGAGTCCACTTACACAGTGTCCAATAACGGTCATTATAACTGCAATAATGTAAACATTGACACAACAACTTAACTTTGACAACAAAATTTACAGCTTTTTGAAAGTTATATATGGTGTTTATAGTGCATGCACGGGCCAGTTAGAACAAAAGACATGGTGAGAAATGTGCTAAAGCATTTGAATAAAACAACTATATAAGGGTAGACTTAATATTTTGGTATGTATTATTTCTTACAAAATACTGCTCTTTTGTTACTTTGAATCTAGACAGTTGTGTAAATTTACAACATATACTACATGTAAATGACTTTATAGCAACCAGTTAGAGAAGATATGCACCAAAGGACGGTGATATTACAAAGCATGCAAATAAATATATCAATTTAATAAATAAAACTCTTATATTTTCTTATAGAAATGAAGGGCAAATTTGTAAAGGCTTTCTCAGCATTTTGTAACTTTAAGAGGCATGTAAGGAGTACAGGTTCCCTCTCTGTGTCTGCTGCCCATCCTCTCGTTATTCTGTATATTTAAGTCCTCAGTTTGCCTCAGTTTCCTCGTCACATCATCAGTCTTCATGTTAGCACTTCTCTCATGTTCACCTATGGTCTGTGCACCATGTTTTGCTTCCTAGTGTTTAATTACTGTACAACAAGTTTAGTGTTTTGTATTTTAGTTTGTAATTCTCAGCAATAAATCTGCTTAAGTTCACATTTTGTCTCTGGAGTCCTGCCAGATGTTTAAATTATCTGTGGTTTGTGACTGCTTTTGTATTCACAATTATTAAAGAACTATACTATTTATATCATACCCTCTTTTCCCACCTCACAGTCGCACAGCAAAGCTTGTTTAAAACATTTTCTCTTAACCTGAGGGCATTAAGGGAGAGGTAATTTCTGAAAATTCTGGTTTGACGAGCTCTCCTCCAAATGTCAAATCTAATAAGACTTCCCATCTAAATTATTACTACTTAAAAAAAAAAGTGTGTATAATTGAGAAAGTACATGTTAAGCTGGACCAGTATTCTTATTTTTTGTTCTTTCTTTGTTTGTTCTTCAGTTACATTGTAATTTAATAAATATCAGAGAACAGTTACATATCAATATATCATCATTTCTTATTGTTGAGCAGATCCGGAAAAGAGGGATGATGAGCTTTTGCAAAGCTTCCATCTCTTGGCTCAGAAAAAAAAGTGAACATGACTGAACCAATCACATCAGAGGATTCAAATGATACTAAAACGTCATGTTCAACTGTAATCAGCTCAATACAGAGGTGTGATATTGAATGAACAAAAGTAATGTGGTAGAAAATGTATTGCTGAGCCAACTTTTGAAAGAAATTGTTCTTACACAACTCTAGAAACAATATTAGAACGGAAATATGAACATTCAATATTTTTCACTTTATAGAGTGAAAGCAAAGTACACAGATGTCCCATTTGTTACATATTTTATTTACATATTTTATTTTTGTACTAGTTTTGTAGTAACTTCGTAACTTTACAGAAACTCCTTTTTACCTCAGTAGAAATCTATTTGTTTGTCTGCCATGACATCAATGAGTAACTTATGTCTCAAATGAAAACAAAGGGAGGTGCTCTTATCCTGAGGCAAGAAACTGTAAGGTTGACAGCTGAGAAACTTGTGAATCCTGTGACGTAACATTTTTCATCATCAAGATCTCACAACCTCGTCTATCACCTCTCACATACGTCATTAGCTCTCACGCTTCTGAAATATATAAGGCCACAAGAGGTGTGAACATATGATTAAAAGAGTTGAAGAGCAAAGAGTTGTGAATTGCACTGTTGAGAGACAAAAAAAAATTGGAAACCATCTACAGAAGACAAAAAGGACAATTGATACATTTTTCATCTGATCTCAATTTTGGTAAGTGCAATGAAATATAAATTTTATTTACTGTTAATATGACTATATTGTATTTTAGCTTGTTAAAAAAGTAATTATTTTATCTATATTATTTTAAAATTCTGATTCATATTTTTTCAATAAGATGATTAATGATGAGTACAGTAAATAATAAAAAGAGTCTTGCATTTTTGTGAAATTCTATTTTACTTTTTAAGTAATGTTTTGGGGTTTTAATTTTTTTTTAATACATATACACTTGCCATCTGTGTCTTTTACAGATTTAACTGATTAAACAATGGGTGTTGGACTGATAATATCAGCGTTCTTGTTTCTAACAGGTGAGCCAAGTGGTGCTAAACTTACTGTTGATAAAGGAATTATGAACTGTTTTATCATAGCAAAGGATACCTCATAAATAATTGCTACAGACAATATGTAGACTGCATTAAAGTTGAATGTTATAGTACTTTTTATGGTTAGGCACTTGAGTGCATTAAGTAACTCTAGGTAAGTTCTACCTAGTAAGATGTCTTCAAAAAGTGGGTTTAGTAAAAATTTGAGTTTGGTATAGCTGAGATGAGGACGATTTACATGACTTTTGACAGCTTTGCTTTAAAGAAAAAAATTTAGTTTCTCTCTGAATCTTTCGCTCTTGGCTGTGAAGCATGTGATTACACAGGTCTGCAACTGCATAAGATTTTAGAGTGTTTCTTATAGATTTTTACTCATTGAAACCGGGAAAAATGTTTTAAAAATTCCATCTCATCAGGTTTTCTTGCAAATCTCATGTTTTTAGTTTAAATGCACAATTTCCCTTTTTAGACTGAAATCTGGTATCCTGTACTTTAGTCAAACAACCATATCCAATAATGTCTTACATACATTTAATATTTGTAAGAGCGAGACTCAAGATAAATATTTCTCATAATCAATCTCACAGCACACATGGGGCATTCCATCTAAAATCATTCAGTTCTGAAAAAGGTTAAAAGGTCATATCATAATCAGCTTTTATACAGCCTTAACATATTCAAAGAAACAATGCAAAAATGACCTTTGAAACTATTGGATTTACCAGTTCTTGAAATGACAAGATTAGGCTGGAATTTTGCACTTGTTAATAAATGATATTCTTGTCCAATATTTGAGCCCTCACAACTAGAACTAGATTGCAAATATTTAAAACATGAGAAAAAATATCATTGTCAGTGTCAAAAATAATTATATTAGAAAATTATTTGACACAGAAGGATTAACAGGTAAAGACTGACCTCTATCACAATATGAATAGAAGTGAGACCTTTCAAATGCTATAATTCATTTTTGCCAGCCATGTATGTCACATGGGGATATGATCCTTAAAAATTTACCCAAACTTCAATTTATTAAGCTTTCCTCAGTGAATTATCATAAAATTTATTTTCTTCTTTATGAATCTTTTTTTAATCTGCTGAATATAAAACAACCACTCAAAAAAAGGGAACAAACATTGAAAAATTGAGCTAAAAAGCAAGAAAAAAAAGACAGCAAGCTTAAATACTGGCTAATCATGCCATTTCAGACACACATGGGTAGCAAACAATTACATATAAAAGAAAGACTCAAAGGACAAACACAGTGGTTTAGAAGAATTACTCCAGTTACCCCACGATTTAGAAATCATTTGTGTACACCAGTCAGCACTTTTTATGATTACAAAGGTTGCATCGCAAGACACAAGTTTTGCTTTTCATGACAGCAGACCTAAGTCACCTCCCAGTACTGATAAACAAGAAAAAGCAGTGAATTAATTTTATTAAATATATCGATAAATGCAATATCTTTTAACGAAACCTAAATGATTATAAGCACGTATGGGGAAAAAAAGATAATATGGGGGAGATTACTTTAGATTGATTGCAATTTATATCAAAAACATAAAAAGCTGAAAAAATTGGATAAACTGTTGGAGCATTGGATTGATGACACTGAACTTGTTTTAAGGTAGAGATGGACGGGAGAGATTCATGTGGTTTATGTTTGTCATAACAACATCATAAAAAAAAAATGTTAATTTCAAAAACCATAACTAGATACTACATCTATGCATACATAATGATCACTGTCTATAATGTTATTTAAAAACCACAGCAATGCAAAGTCCAATAACGGTGGGACAAATCCAAACCACCACAACTACTACAGCAACTCAAACCACTGCAGCACCGACGTCGACAGTATCAGCTTCAACAACTACCACAGTAGCTCAAACCACTACAGCAGCTACAACTGCTACCACACCAGTTACAACATCGACAACATCAACTGTAAAAACAACCACAGCCACTGGAACTACTGCAACACCAGCTACAACAACCACTACAGCAGCTACAACAAGTACCACAGCAGCACCAACAACTACTATAGCAGCTCAAACAACCACAGCAGCTACAACTGCTACCACACCAACTACAACATTGACAACATCAGCTCCAACGACCACCACAGCTACTGCAACTACAATAACATCAGCTCCAACGACCACCACAGCTGCTGCAACTACTGCAACATCAGCTACAACAACTCTAACAACTACTACAGCAGCTCAAACCAGTACAGCAGCTACAACAAGTACCACAGCGGCACCAACAACTACTACAGCAGCTCAAAC